CACCCCCAGGTCCTTTTCCGCCGGGCAGCTTTCCAGCCACTCTTCCCCAAGCCTGTAGCGCTGCATGGGGTTGTTGTGGCCAAAGTGCAGGACCTGGCACTTGGCCTTGTTGAATCTCATACAGTTGGCCTCAGCCCATTGATCCAGCCTGTCCAGATCCCTCTGTCGAGCCTTCCTACCCAAGCTCTCAAAGCAGGTTGTAGCCATCCATCTTTTACATGAAAACATAACCTCGGTCCCAACAACTAATGCTTCAGTTTGACCCACACAGCTTAAACTGGTTCTGTTACAAAGTCCTGCTCACTGTAGTCTCTGGAAGCTACAATACTGTAATAAAGAAAAGACTGGCCCGCAACTTGTGTTGTTTTCTATCAATTAAATTGTGTCCATCAGCCCCTGGTAGAGCTGCCAATATTGCATGCAGATTTGTGACATTACCGTTACAGTTAGTAGATATGTTTTCTCCATTTCCCTTATTTCACACCATAGCGTTGTATACAGAGATTTTATTTATTTTAAAGACCAAAACAGCACATGGAATAACTCTTCTAGAAAATGCAGAAAGTTCAATCTTTAATTTTATAGACAAATCTGCATTAAAACTGTTTGATGAGACAATAAGTGTCATCCATGATTTTTTTTTTATCCGTGATTATCTATCAGCAAGAACTTTATCTTAGTGCAAAATGTAAATGTAGTCATTGTTATACATCTTATTTCACTCATGTAATGAAGAAAATCAGCTGTAAGCAGCTATCTATAAATAAGCCCTGCAAGCTCAGGTTTGCCTTGAGAAACCTTTCATTTTTTAAGCACTTGAATACAGAAAATTATATATAAATTGTGAACTGCTATCAAAACCTGCTACGCACCCTTAGGCACCATTATTCCAAGTGGATGCATTAACTACTATACTATCAAATATCTGCATCTATCAATAGAGAAACAAATACACACACAGAAAGCATGAATATTACAGACAATCTCAATAGATGTAAGCTGTCTTACAATTAAACACTGTAACATAGCCACTAGATCAATTTTTAATGATTTTAATTCAGTTGTGTGCTTAACATTTCAAGCTGAAACTGGAATTTTAAACATTTCCTCTTTTTTGTATTGATTTCAATAAACTACTGTTTTAGCTTCCCAAAACTAGAATAATGTCTTCAAAATTGTACGTAAAATGATAGCAAACCAGTCAGTTATTGGTAAAATAGCATCACATTGAAATCCAGTTGCAGCTTTTTCACTTTGTAGTGCAATTCCACCCCAGTTTTCTAGAACTACAGTATACTTAAGATCTTTAGTGGGACACACTAACAAACGCTAGTAATAGTGTTGTGGCAGTTCATCAGGTGGCACCCTTAATCAGGGCTGTGCTATACACAGGGCAGCCACAGAAATCCAAGGGGTCTCCCCCTGCCACTATGGTTATTAATAACAGAAGTAACACTCTGAGACACAGGGGTTTGGAAAATACTAATTCTGTTACAACTAGAATTGCATTCTTCAACATTTTCCCCAAAACTGCAGTGCAGTAAAATGGACTGAAGGGAGCGAGAGATTCTTCAGCTAGTATTCCCCCATTCTGCATTTTGTTTGCTGCTGAATGTTAGTACCCAGAAAGTTAAATTATACCAAGAACCATCCATGTCAATGTCTACTATTTAAGGAAATAAAGGTGTCCTTTTCTTTATGCTCTCCTATAAAAAACAGATTTCATTACCTTTACAGGAAACAGTGGGAAGGCTGTTCTGTTTTGGGGTTGGGGTTTTTTTTTTTTGGTGTTGTTTTGTTTGTTTAAGCTATGAACCGTAACAGAATTTGGAGTTATGGATATTGAAACTGTAGACAAGAAAGCATTATAACTGAGAAACTACATGCTTATTTCTGTAACACAGCCTGGCTCTGGTGACAGATGAAACTGCTCCCTTTCACAAACTAAGCACTATATATTGCATTCTATGAAGATAAGCAGAAGTACCACATGTCATAGGGTACCATATGCCGCAGGGAACAGATGACCTAGATTTGTGCTGTTGAAGTAGTTATAGTAACTATACCTATAGAGTTGCTTCCTCTTGCCACTTTTGGTAGTCATGCTAGGGTCCACCTGGTCCTGGTCAAGGCAGAGCCAAGCGTTGAAAGAAAACGCAGAGCCTGGCCACTTATGAATTGATGGAACAGCAATTCCGGCCATGCTGTGGTACAAGTTGAAATACTGCAAGGCACTAGCCATGCCCTGCTTCCGGGCCATTGCTAGAATGGCTTGCATCACTGGAACAACATAAGGGTGAGCTCGTTTTGGTTCCTCAGTCCTCAGGAGCCGTATTAGTTGAAGCAGTTCTTCTGAGCCCATTGACTGGCTCCCCAAAGAGCCCAGAAGGGCAATCAGGTTCTCTGCACAAGCACAATGGAGCGCGGAGTGGGAATTTAGTGTCTCAATGATACGGATGACCATGTTGGCATTGACACACGTGGCACGACTCTGTCTGTTAATACAGCAGATTCGCCTCAACCAATTTGAGATGAAAATCTGCAGGTCATGTGATTCTAGTTCTGGAAGCCACTGGATAAGCAGCAATAAGGGCTGGACATTACTAATGCCTAGTATCCCAACAGCCATGTGGTCACCTTCAACAGCCTGAAAAACAGCAGAGAACTCAGACGTGAAATACAATAAAATAGGGCTAGAAGTACTGTTGAAAAGATGTAAGCATTTTAGCATTCAAACCAAGCACATCTCACCATATTCATGAGTTCTTCCAGCAATTCCCGTGAAGGTTGACCCAGTGATTTTAGTACCTCATATATGTGTGCATAACCAATCCTCTCCTTGAAGACCTCCTGAGGATAAAAATCCCAGTCTCACTAACAAATAAAATGGACAAAAATTGCCCATCTACTGCAGTAGGTTCTAATTTAACACAGTATTAGACAAAATAATTAGAATGCAAGAATAATGTTTTACAGGCTAAAAATCTCTTTTTGGTATGTCCATTGTGCTATCTCTAGCATGCTGCAGATAAGAAGGATCTCATTGCAGCATGCAGATAAACAAATAAAAGATCAAAGTTAATTTCAGTAATTACCTATACAAGAATACAATTGCTTTGGTATAATCAAAATGTTAATTCTATCACAAAATACTAATAGCTTCATTTTTTAATGCAAACTATAGCATGAAATGAAGTTACTACATTGAGAATTAGAAGTATTCAGATATTAATTTTTGAGTGAAAGATTTTCCTAGACCACCTTGATTAAAAACCACCCATCCTAAACACTTCAAAAATTAGAAAAGTGTTCCAAGGAAGTTTTTCTGAAAACTAATTGATTTTACATGAAGAAAAAAAATAATCAAGCAGCAAAATCCAGACTGTAGCATCCATTTATGGTATAGTTATTAAACAGTCAACACATCTGTGCTAGTATAGGGCTAGTTTTGGATTTGTGCTGACCAAAGGGATATTCCATACCATATGACATCATGCTCAGCATATAAAACTGGAGGAAGAAGGGAGGGGGGGACATTCGGAGTGATGGCGTTTGTATTCCCAAGTAACCGTTACGCATGATGGAGCCCTGCTTTCCTGGAGATGGCTGAACACCTGCCTGCTGAGGGGAAGTAGTAAATGAATTCCTTGTTTTGCTTTGCTTGCGTGCGCGGCTTCTGCTTTACTTAAACCGTCTTTATCTCAACCCATGGCTTTTCTCATTTTTACTCTTCCAATTCTCTCCCCCATCCCACCGAGGAGCAGTGAGCGAGCAGCTGTGTGGTGCTTAGTTGCCAGCTGGGGTTAAACCACAACAGTCCTTTTTGGCGCCCAACATGGGGCTCGAACCCATGACCCTGAGATTAAGAGTCTCATGCTCTACCGACTTGGCATCTCCCCCCAGCTTCTTGTGCACCCCCAGCCTACTCGCTGGTGGGGTGGGGTGAGAAGCAGAAAAGGCCTTGACTCTGTAAGCACTGCTCAGCAGTAACGAAAACATCCCTATATTATCAACACTGTTTCCAGCACAAATCCAAAACACAGCCCCATACCAGCTACTATGAATAAAATTAACTCTGTCCCAGCCAAAACCAGCACAACATCATACAGAATGGATACTCTTCTCCCAGTTGTATTCTGCACTGAAATTAAGACTTTTTTTTTTTTAAGGATGAATCTGTCAGCAAAACTGAGATGACTGCTTAAGTAAATACGGAAAAAAAAAACACATATGTTGCAGTGGAAGTATAATTGAAAATTTTACTAACCCTTTGTGAATCATAGCCAGTCCCCAACTCTTAACATACAACTCTTCCCAGGCTTTCCAGAGTCAGTGGAGAAATAAGCACTCTGAGTAATGCTCTGGAGGAGCATAACTGACCCTGTCGTTTCTCACTCAGACTGCAAGTAGCAACCAACTCCCACTCTTCCTTTAGCCTCCACTGTGCAGCCACATCCCTTTCCTTGTGCCAAGACTAGGGAATCATTCAACCACAGGGTTGAACTCGGCAACCTAAGAATAAATACACTATTTTTCTGTGGGCTTAGCTTCCAGTCAGATTCACAAACTAACCGCAACCTATCCATTTATCAAACCACAAGAATAACTACAAAGGAAGGGCAGAGGAATGGCAAGACCACCATTTGAACAGCAATACTGTCCTGGATTAGTTTAAAGCCATGATAAAACTACAACACAAACTCCTGCCTGAAAATTCCTGCAAATACCCATTAATTCTACCCCACATATTCATGGGACAAGTAACGATGTACTTCCTTTACAAAGGTTCCAACTGCCATTAACACTCTGATCTTCCAGTTTTGATAGAAAGATGGCTCAGTGTCCAGCCATTAGACACATATAAAGGGATATGGGATGCTAATCAGCTATTCCTATCTGGCAGGAATGCATGACCACAATTTGCTCATCTTCATTAGCAAGATTCGTCAAGATACTGTGATAAAAACACTAACTGGAAACAAAATTAAGAAGCCTACTGCAAACAGACCTCTGCATATATACTGTTACCTTGGCAGCTGGAGACTTGTGCATTACTGCTGTGAGGGCTTGAATGGTTGATACTGCCAAGCAGTCTAGGTGTCCCTGAAACACCTGAAAGTAGCAGGTACAGAAGTTATATACAAATGCACAAAAACAGTTCAGCTCCAAAATCCATACTGTGCCCTCCTGCCAGGAGGGAAACCAAGAGTTTGCTAACATGCTTCAAAAATCATCTCCCCACCAGTCAAGATTTCATAACCCCACGGCCTACAAGGAATTACATAACAGTAGACAACTAGCCACATACTTCAAGAGGAGAGAAGCATTCACCACACACATTGCACTTCAAATATTTTGATGGGCAAACAGGTTTTCCTCATGCGGCTAATGGACAACCTCAAGAGGGAGGGAGGAAAACAAATTAGGAAACCTCTTGCAGTATGTGTGTGTGCGCTGCTGGACAATCAGGCGCCTGCAGTTCATACAAAGTGTTTTCTTTTCCATCCAAGTCCCTACACGCCAATGCAACACACACACACACACAAATAATAAGAGAGAAGTCACACCAGCACAGTAAAATGGCTGCCTCACCCATAGCCTCGTCACATTGATCAACATATCTTTTTCCAATTTAAGTCATGTTTTGAGGGTTTTTTTCTATAATTCTTGTTTATATTGATATTTCTATAGTGGTTTTAAGGACAAAAACATTGGAGCACTATTTCGCATCCATCAGTAAACCTAATTAGCAAAACTGTGCAAACAAATATACTGTTTCATCATCTCTGAAATATTATATGCATATCAGGCATATTTTGAAAATGAAATGTCAAGAATCAGAAGACAGTGTTAGATGTGAAGAAACATTTATATGCGGTTAGTGTTGCACTGAGTTTCTAAAGAAGCCAAAGCTATTAGTTAGAATCACAATTTGTAGATTACCATACCTTGTATTTAGCATTTCTTCACATTTTTAATCAGAACAAATCATTCTACTATAAAATTAATACAACAACAATTTGCATTTGAAACTTTCCACAATATTTTGGGAAAATTAAAGCAACAGTCTATTCCTACCTCCCTGATTCAGCCTGTCCATTGTTTTGTGAACATCTGTTCTTGATGACAAGCAAAGAATCAGGACATCAAATACAACCATTGAGATTCACAAACAAGGCCCCAGAATCCAAAACACCACAGTGCTGAGACAAAGAAGCCAAAAAGAGGAAAGGGAGGGGAAAAAAAAATCACCACCAGGTTGATAGAATTTATTTGGATTCCATTCATGTACTTCACCTTTTCCTTAAAAGAAGCATAACTGAGGCTCAATCTATAGCAAATATCTGCAATTTGAAGCAGATGAATAAAACGGAGGTTGAATTCAATCTATTCAGAAAAATTATTTTCCAGAGACAGGAAATACTGACGTGTGCAGCAACACAAGTTCATCTTGCTGCAGAAGGCTTAAAGAGGATGGTTAAGGTGAAGCACAGGAATCAATTTTCCTGTGATTGTGTCTTGACTTCAACTGAAGCAAAATACAGGTTAGGTAGGTACCTGGTCCTCATTCATTTCTGTCAGTAATTTGTTGGCAAGGTCTTTCTCACTCTTGTCTGCCACTTTATTGTTAGCATTTAAAAACAGCTGTTAGAAACAGAGACAAGAATAATGGAAATAATTGCATTAAACAGTTACCTGCAGCCAAACCTGTGGAGGCTGCCTTGGATTTGTATTTCACATACAAAAAAACAACAAAAAAAAAGTTCTCATATCGGTGAGACACAATCCTCCCTTAACATTAGTCTTCTGTTATTTCTTACACTACTGAAGATTACATTGTATTTTTGCTAAATAGTAATCGTTCCCTCCCCAGTTAAATGAAAATATGTAATCGCTGAGACAAGGAAACAGATCTATCTGGAATTTATACTGGTCACTGGCTTAGCAACTCTGATTTCATTTACAATATGCAACATGACAGGAGGTTCTCAAAAATTTACTTGCAAGAAATAAAGACAATGGTGGGGCATTAGCAAAGAAATGGATACAGATGTTTCACTATTTTCCACTTATGTTTCATCCTAAGTGAAGGCTGAATATACCTAGACAGAATATTTTAATCTTCAAACAGCAACAGCAGCAGAATTTCTGGGGCACATAGTCTTTAAGACACGAAGAAGCGTAAAATATGTCTGCCATCATCCTAAGAATCAGACAGATTGTAAATAGCTTTAAATCAAACATACACCTATACTACATCTTCAGCTAAGAAACTGCTCTGTGTATAGTAGCTAGATTCCTAGTCAGTTCCTGAATTTGCAAGTTTAAAGCTCACCCAAGTATCTTCGTAATCGATTGCAGTCACTTTGTGTGCCAAGTTTAGCTGTAACCTAATCAGGACTAAAATTTATCTTCTGTTTTCAGACTCTATTGAGGTGTTAAAAAAATCCCTCATCAAAATGTTTTAAAAATCGCTTCAAAAAAAAAAAAAGAAGGAACAACACTTTCCGTTAGTGGATAAAAACTAAGCATTTGTGGGTTTTTTTTCCTCATACATTTTGTTCCATTATCTGCTAGGTAGTCTCTCTGAAGAGGAACAGCCTGAGAAATCAAATTCCATAAATTAGGGCAAACAGAAGGACAACTGTCAAGATATTACTTTGACTTACATAGGTCTGAAAGCACACAGTTAGAAACACAAGTCATTTTGAAAGGTACATCACGGTCAAGAGCACTTAACACTGCAGAATAACTAATATGCCTCAGAGGGTTATAACATTAACAGGTGGAAATAAGAACATTGAACAGAAGCAAATGCAGACATGCAAAAAAAAAAAGGGTTTTCATATGGGTTACTTCAATTCTGATAATACATGTAAAATGGAAAAATAGATTTTTATTACAATGTCCATATGGTTTTAATTCTTCTATTTAAAAGCTGTTCAGAAAACAATAATTTTTTTTAATCAGGCGTACTGCTAGAGGTCATTGTGCTTTGCTCGAAGTCTGACCTCTAAGAGAGTTTAATAGATGAGAAAAGATTCAGGACCAACAAAGCAGCTGTTAAACGACTCTCAGTATAGAATAAGCACCTCCTGATATCTCTAAAGTCCCTCTTTTCGGATGTCACAGGCAAAAAGCAACATTCAGATCATCAAAACTTAACCGAGCAGTTTGGAAAAGCTTTTGTGCAGATCTCTAACCCTAGAGCATAGTTAAGGGAAGACAGTTTGCCCATAAGCCTTAAAACCAGCAAATATGAAAAAAGATTTAAATTTTAGAAGATTGTTGAACTGCAAATGACTAGGAAGTATGACTAGAAGTACAGCCTTGAATACCCCAAGTTCTTTGGGATATCTATAGCAGAAATAGTGGTATGGATTTTCTTTACCCCTCCTTTCCATGGAAATTTCTTGCACTTCAAATTTGCTGAAGATCTAATAGCTTCCTGAGTTTCAGATATGTGTATGGACTCTCCCACAATCTGCAGAGCTGCAGAACTGTGCTTTACACAGCTTGCTGGTGAATCCAGTAGCAAGATTTTCATAGGTAAAGAAAAAAGACCTAGAAATAGGGTATCCACCCCCAGCTAATAAGGAGAAATCCTAATTCCACAGCTAAATTCATCTTTGCTATTTGGCTTTCAAAAAGAACAGAGATACAGTATATTGGAAAATACAAATATACACCACCTTCCCAGCCTCCACCCTCTCCCCACTTTTCATCCTTGGGGGTATTTTGACTGTGAAAGGTTAAAAAAACCCCACTAAGTAGCAAACTGGCAGCATTGATATCCAATCAATCACAGTAATATGTGAGACTATCACAGGAAAAAACCCTCAAAAGAGCGTATCTTATGACATACATTCAGGCAGAATAAAAATAAAAGGAGCAAGCTGCAAAAAGAGTAGCTGTTCCTGCTTTCTTAAATTCCACAACTTGTTTCTATGAGAGCAGGAACATAGCTAGAGTCTCCATGAACAGGTAACATCACACTGCTTGATGATTTAAGAAGAAACTAAAAAAGAAATTTATATAGAGTACAAGGTCAGTACAAAAATAGGTACAGATTCCTAAATAGAGGAGGAGGATGGAAAGGTCAAGCAATGTATTTTCAGGAGATAAACTACAAATACTATTCAAAACACTTCAAGTCAGTTGGCATTCTGCCACTGACTATAACTACAGTTAAGACACAATCCACATTTATTTTTAATATATCACTACACTAAAATATGTTCTAATCCAAAATCTAAATGGATTTGAATCAAATTGCATACTGTAGCTAGCATTAAATTATCTAGCCTTAGAAGTGCTCAAAATAGCTATGCCACCAACATATCACAAAAAGAGAAATAAAATATTCCAGAGTTACATCATATCTATGTTCTTTTGCACAGGGAAAAATGAAATCTACAAAGAAATCAGTGGAAGACACTAGCTTGCAAATTATGACCATATGGGATTAAGATTAAAACAACATCTATGTAAACACTAAATCCTATGTAGAAGGAGAACAATTGAAGATTTGTAACAGCTTGAGCTCATGTTTTATGTCAGCTACACAAGACTCAAATATTTTGAAACACTTACAAAGGCACACCAGCAAGTTTTTTTTAAATGCAAAAATATGCCCCTGAAATTAGAATTCAGACCTCCATCTGGCAGCAGATGTAAGAGACCTCCAAGTGATCCAGTGACAGAATATAAAAAAAAAAAAAAGGGGGGGGGGGGGGCAAATGTGTCCAGTAACAACCTTAACAGATTTTAGAGACTGAGTGAGGTCTGTAAAGGTATTTTGCTCACAACTCAAAATAAGCATTCATTGCTTTAACCACAAGACAGACAAGAAACACCTCTACTTCATTAGGAATAAAAAAAGATTTTAGAGCAACTCAGATCTTTCATTATTAGCCTTAGTGGCTCTAACCAATCCAAAGTTTTACTTCCAGTATGTAGACACTATAAAATTGCATCTAATTCAGATGGAAGATATAAAGGTAATTAGTATACCTGCAATATTACAAGACAGGTTTTGTTAAAAATATGCTGATAAGGGAAAATTTACCTTGCAGTTCTGCAACAGTCGAATGAGATGCTCAAAGCAGTTACTGTTAAGGAAAATTGCCTGCAGAACAGGCCTATCTGTGCAGTCTAACATGGCTGAGGGGGGGTGAATTAAAACAGAACTAGCATCAAAGACAAAACACTTCTCAAATCCGTCAAGCATTTTTTCTGCACATTACATAATAAACATGGGGAAAAAAAATACACAACAAACTATATGCTGTGAATTCTTTGATCAAGAATGATGTGCATTTTAAGCACAGAGCACTAGGCCTAAAGCTAAACATTTTGATACTGTAAAAATTATCACGTAACCTACTATATCTGGAGGAAAAATTCAGCTACCGAATATCTTTGATTGCTCTGGGGCTCTGTTAAAGCCATTGCCATTTGTGAGTACATAAGCAGCATGCCTTTTACTTAAAGCACACAAACACTTGCTTCCTCATCAAGCAATTACTCTGCATTCTACAGCAGCCTTATACTGTAAGCATTCTTCATTGCCTCAGTACTATTCCTCAGTTTTCTCTGAAACTTGGGAAAAGAAATACCTTTATTTTTATTTCCCATTCTGAACATCAGAGTGGAAAAAACTCCAGATCCTGAATTCTTAACCAACAACTTAAATGCAACTGTTTCAGACCATCACCTTTGGCCAATGTTTTCAATAATGCCATATGAAAAGCAAACTATCACAAAAAAGCCACCACACAGGTATTTAATTCTGCAATTATTAAGGTGCTGATGAGTGTCAGCTGTTGCCTAGCAAAAATTTTTTTTTTTTTAATGGAGACTGGCAGTCTGTGAACCTTGACTCCCTGGTTAAACGGTAGCAATCCAATATGGTTTCTTCTGGGTTTTTTCTAGTGAATGATTAAACAAGAATACATCTAAAGTAATGTCAATGAAGAACTGTTTCAAATTTTTCAATTGCTTAGCCAAGTGAACATTTTTTGGTAGAACATTCAGTTATATTACTATCATGGTTCAATCATTACTTGCTTCGGAGTTATTATCAAGAGATACTTAAAGGAACTGCACAATTGGGTACTCACTCAGCATTTGGATCTGTAGTGCTATGAACCTGCTCTCCCACTGCCTGCATCGCCTTGGATTAGGTAAAGCTGAATGGTCCGAATTAAGCAACTTGAAATAGTTCTCCAATATTGTACTTGTCTCCACCTGCCGCTGGTCAGAACTGCTGGTTAGAAGGATATGGACAACTTCTGTCAGGCACTTCAGAGTCAGCTCTGCCTTCCTGCTCACTTCCTCAGGGTTCCTGTCATCCCAGTTGTCACAGTCTGCTAAAACACGCATCAAGACTTCCATGGTGGCAGGAGATACTGCTTGAAGAGCATTCCTCTGGAACACACGGGGGAAAAAAGTGATTAAGGAAAAAAAACAGTAATAAATAAATAAATAAATCAAACCGCTTCAAACCAGCAGTTTCTATCTGAGTTATCTGAATCATGCAGCATGCATTATGTCTGTTAATGCCCTGTAATTGTTAAATAAATATGAAACATTCTACTTGGATTATATTGATGGCTACAGATGAAATGCATCCCATCTCGTTCACTTAACTAGGCTTTCTTTTTCAAAGAGAATGCTTATAGGGAAAAGGAAATATAATTTAAATGCATGTTATAAAATTCTTATAAGATAGCCTTGATAAACTGCTAATTCTAGGTAAATCTTCACTTGTAAATCAAACGCTTCAAACCAGCAGTTTCTATCTGAGTTATCTGAATCATGCAGCATGCATTATGTCTGTTAATGCCCTGTAATTGTTAAATAAATATGAAACATTCTACTTGGATTATATTGATGGCTACAGATGAAATGCATCCCATCTCGTTCACTTAACTAGGCTTTCTTTTTCAAAGAGAATGCTTATAGGGAAAAGGAAATATAATTTAAATGCATGTTATAAAATTCTTATAAGATAGCCTTGATAAACTGCTAATTCTAGGTAAATCTTCACTTGAAGTTTCATTTTAGATCATGAGATTCATGATACTTCAAGTTTTTGAAAAGAACATAATAAATAGCAAACGTTTGTCTGGGCCCTGAGCGCATTTCCCTTACCTCTCTTCCTGGGGGTCTGACTGCAGGGGCTCAGGGCCACCTTAAATCTGGGGCAGGAGCCCAGCCTTGTAGAGAGCTTTGAGAAGCCTTGTCAGGGACTCCCTGCCTTCTCTAGGGAGCTGCATTCAAGCTGCGGCTCTCAACCTTTTACCTGCCTGAGCTACACTGCAGCCATGCTCATGCCTGGCCATGTACTGTCTTGAACCTGACCCCACAGACTTGACTGACCGGCTTGACCTTAGACCTGCCTCATCACTATGGATGGGCCTGGCAACCACTGGACTCTTGACTGACCCCAGTTACCATCACTAGACCAAATCCCCACCCTGATGTGCTGACCAGACTTCCTGGCTTGATCTCAGGCTTCATCATTACAGACTTGTCTAGTGATCTGAGCTGGTTGATCCTGGTTACTACCACCAGACCTGCTCTGTTCACCTTGTTCAGGTATAGTGAGACTGCACCTTTTGCCAGCGAGGTCAGCTGCCTCTGCCTGCCTGGTCATCATGCTCAGTCTCAGCTTGCCTTCCCTGGTGGAGCAGTGCCTGGCTTTGCTGCTCCCTGACGACATTTAAAAATGCTCTCTCTTCTGGATCATCAGAAGTAATATTTGCTTGCGACCAGACTAAGTAGCACATTACAGAAGTCAGCTAAGAGAGTGGATGTTGGCTTTGCTGATGATGAACATCCTCTTTTCTTCACATTCTTTCGAAGATTTTAAACAGCTTCCAAGCTATAAAGGCCCTGTGCCTCTTACTGAAACAGCTTACTTCCAACATTGGGAAGTAAGCTAGATTAATTTCATGTGTTGATACAAACCTTACATCTTTGCAGGTGGAAACTCCTAATGTAGTTACCCACATTTTTTCTTTATGATATGAAAATATTACAGCAAGTTCATATGAAAGTGCAGTTATTGTAGACAGCAAATTTCTACTGTTATTTGAAAGCAGGACCTAGCTTTTAGCATTTAGATACTATTGCACAGAATGACCCCAAACTTTATAAGACAAACAAACAATTCACAGTCAGTAACAAATTCTTCTCATTATGGGTTATGGGGTATTTATAAGACTTAAACAATGAATAGGCATTTGGAGGCTTCAGCAGCTGAAAAGAGTTGAGAACATCCTTACCTGACCACCAGCCACAATAGCTCCAAAGAGATGTAGCAGGCAACATTTTAGGCTTTCCTTGAGATGTTCACTTTCTTGAAAGCATTCTGATTGGAGTAAATAAAAAGGAGAAGGATTCCTTACTTTGGCCATATAAATTATACAAAGTTTTTCCTCTCAAAAAAACCCACCAACAAATGAAATAATAAAAAAAGCTCCTCTACTCCCTGTCATCACGCAAATTTAAAAAGATTTTCAACTCTAATCTCCACTTTCTTTTACATAAATCAGACACAAACACATCAATTCCAACATTATCAAAGTAGCACAACAAGACCACATTTATCAGGAATTTACAGGGCCAGACCTTCAGCTTGCATAAAACTTTTCATGCAGGCGGACAAAACTATAGACATACAACAACTGTTGATCTGATCCATAATGTAAAATGAGCCCATTTTGTCCATATTAATGAGAAACAGAAGGACATGCTAACATGCAAGCAGTTAGCAAGCATGACAAAGGTTAGAGCAATTTTGGCACGGAAAGTCTAATGCCGTATGCAGTGCAGGTAGCTCAGAAAAACAGTCCCTGAGCTTGCTCCCTTTAAGCCAAACTTCCCAGGGAAGCCTGTGCAGGTCTGTAACCTTTCTAGCAGTAGTCTCTTTAAAGACAATTATCCTGCATCTCTTCTCATGCCATATCTGATGTAAATTAATCATAAACAGCCTCAGGAACTCTTCTTAGCAATAGAAATAACCTGGATTTTGTTGCTATAGCAATAACACTAGACTCGAAGTAGCTGCAACAAACAGCAAAGAATTATTTTATTTGGAATTAACAATTGTAAGACTTCCAATAACTTTGAGATAGAACTGACAATCACTTGAGTTTGTAAAAACTGAGATTTTTAAACAAACAACAGAAACTGTTGTTATATAAAATGCAAGAATTTTATATTCATTAAAATAATAACCTTTAAGACCATTACCAATTATTGGCATGTAAGATTTCTGACTACATACTGAATGTATAAGCCTGTTTTAGAAGAAAATTGCACAGCTATTTTTTAAATCTAGTCTTCAAAGGAAACAAAGACTTAGATGATCACACTGTTAGTCTGCTAGTCCCACTACTCCCTTGACTTATAGCCTCTGAATCTTTTGGGGAACCTCAGAAAAATTCAAAAGAGCAGTACCTAGCAGATTGAGAATAAATCATTAGGCTGGGTAGACCAAAAAAGCCTGAAATTAGTGCTGCCATGGCAGAATGTCTAAAGCACACGCTCAGCAATTTCTTGTTCTGTCTTTCCTGCCACTTGGCCAACCAGCAGATGAGTATCTGCCAGCTAATTAATACACTTGTAGCTCAGTCACAGTATATAATATTTAAGGGATTTAGGAGGAACCAGAGTGCAATGCACTGAATGGGGAGGAGAGAACCTGCAGATGACATTCCTCAGTAGCAGCCTTTAGAGTGGGTTTCCAGTGCTCTGGCACAAAGATAATGGCATTTTACTGGCATCAGCTCTTTGGTCCTTTTGGCAACTAGCCTATTTTATGTACACAGAGAGGAGAGGGAATCTCAAGGAACAGGAGGAGCATGTGACTCAAATCTAGAGAAACCAAACTCATAAATGCTACCACTCTAGGAATAGAACCTTCCTTTTTTATTGCCAATTACAGCTGAGTTAACAGATAGCTGCAAAAAGGGCTGATTCCACTCATACCCCCACCCCTACAGCATGTTCCTGCTGCTTCAATTCTGTTGGCACTAGTGCTTTGGTGCACTAAACTGGCAAACTAGCTGGGCATCCCACCTTCCCAAGATTTAAGTGCAGAACATGGCCACATAAGTCCTCCTTTTCCACACAGCCAATCTGTAATGGTAACACATGAATTCCAAACTAGCCGTCATGATATTTAATGACTTAACCAGAGACAAAACAGAGCAGTTTCCCAAACTGCAGTCCAAGGAGCATTTGCTAGTTGGATGGCACAGTTTCCTTCTTTCTAGATGTTGAATCATATTAAGATACAAAAATGCATGAACACTTTCCTAAGATTATTTTTCCATGCGAGTTATCATTACAGTTGCCACAGGGACCTTACGTGCAATCACTGTATGTACCCTAATAAATGGGAAAGTTGGCAATTCACAGAAGCAACCCTATTAAACCACGTTAGGCACTGAAAGAAAGTCTGAGAAAACCCAGGCTTTCAAAGATGAGTAAGAATGGCAAGATTGTGATGCTCAGAGCAAAAAACAAGCAAACAAAGCAACCCACTTCATTCAGCCTCAGAAAGCAAGTAAGGGGCTTTTACATTTATCAGGCATTCTTAGGGGAAAGGAACTTGAAATCACTAAGCTCACTCCTCCAAAGATGACTATTTTTAAACATGCTGTTGATAATACTTACGGTAAAAGAAAGGGACAAACTCAACAGTGAGGGAGGCTGGTTTATACTTCTGTCTGCTCTTTTCAACTGTACTAAGGAAACGTCTGCAATTACATTAAAAAAGATACACCAAAGAAATTAGATACGATACCTTTGTTTATGACTTACTTATTAATTTATGACTTCATAATAGAAAACACTGCCAAAAATTGGGAGTTATCTTTTGCCTACAGGATCAAAAAAAAAAAAGTAAAGTAATATTTCATCCTGAAAAAATTAATCACAGCTAATCCCGTATTTACTGTTCTGCTCCTAGAAATACCTTAACTTTTCACAATATGGTTTAGTTCAAAAAAAAAAAAAGCCAGCAATCTGTTATTTAGTCCTTGCTTATCATAACTAAGCCACCAGCTAGACTGCCAAATTTCTTAACCATGCAATTTAAAATGGGCACAAAACATTATTATGGGTTCATTAGGGGGGATGACCATCAAATTAAAGGGATATAATTTTACTGATACACTTATAAACTTCTTTTCAAAGATGCAACATATCTGTACTGTGATCTTCAATAACTTCTTTTGCCCTAATTCAACCAGGTCTGCCTACCCCATTCCTTTTGGCTTCCTTGTTCCACCAGTTTAGAAAAATGGGCCAGTTTTTGAAAGGAGAAAGCAATGGAAGGACCTTCACATTGGTCAGTTACAACCAAACACCTCTTAGTATATCCTCAAATTTAATTTTGTTTTAACTTCTAGACTGCCTGTAAATATATTATAATTTTAGAAAGGTACTTAAATCATATTCAGTTTCAGAAAGCATAACATGCTACTGTGGTGTGATTATATTGATTCATTGCCAAATTCTGCACCTTCATTGGTTGTAAATTCACTGATTTTGAGTACTTATACTCCACCTAAGATACCATGAGATGTGCTGGCATTACCCACACTAAATCTGAAAACAGCTTAGCACTACACTGGCAGGCCATATGTAAGAACTGGTGTCAATTCATGCTCTGTCCTAGAAAAGGGGAATTCTCATGTTGCACAAAAATACCGGAAGTTGTGATCCTTACATGCTCCTTGAAACTTTGTGCACAATGATTCAAGCTGTTATTGAGAATACAACCTTTTGTTTCCATAACAGCCTCATGAAACCTGCAGTCCATGCAGTATTATGGCATACTGCAGGTTTCGAGCTACAAAGAAACCCCAGCAGCCAAGGTACACAGCTCACATGATCCCCACTCTGTTTGCACAGAGTCGGACGAGTGACTTGCTGCACAAATGCAAGTCTCAGAGCTAGCACAAGTGCTGTGCTAGCTCTACAGAATGTATGCTGTGAGAATAGACCTGAGGTTTTACAAGACTAGGTAACATGAGATACGATCTCTCTATGCCTTTAAATATTTGTATGCATAGGTCCAATATTTGATGCATGTCAAAATGTTCCTGACGGAAATAAAATTGAGGACCTAAAGGAGAAGCAGCTCTGAATGATAGCAGCAAGGAGCAAACAACAACTTCAGCCCTTGTATACACATTAACTATACAAGACTATGTACATTTAACATTATTGTAATTAATTTGGGGCTAATAGGGAGAACTGTACATGAAAAATCTCACAGAAATTTATAAGAGGTCTCTGAAGAGCCAGTTATAGCAGATAAAGTGAATCACTAGCAGTTTCAAAGAACAGGGCCTGTGCCTAGAATGACAGAAATTAAGCATCTTGGAAAGCCCATTTCCTGGCTCTCTACACTTCCCACCTTTCAAAAAGCTTCACAACTCAGCTTTCCACTAAATGGAACAGGATATATTAGTACTCTGACAACTTTGGTGGCAATGAAGTTCAGTTTCAACTGCTTCATGATGTTAATTTTGGTAGAAAAGCTATTTCATTAATGCTATTCTAAAGAGTGTATCTTTGGGAAAAAAAAAAACTAAAACACAGTATCAAGTGCTCAAAGCTACCAATTCTCACAGTTGTAAAATACAACAGCAGAAGAATATACATATAACTATTTTTTATTTTAGTTTGACACCAGGCAGCAATAGTTCTGTCAGAAACTTTATGTATTGTTTATCTAAACATCATAAACCACAGTATTTATAATCTTGTCCTAGTCCACACGTACCCCGCAATTCGGTGCCTCCAGTTTCGGTATGGGTCGTAGAGACTTTCACAAAAAGCCAATGCATGCCTCACAAATTCTTCTATGGGGGTCTGATCTGCCACTTCTTTTTCTTTTGTTTTGCTTTTTAACTGAGGACAAAAAGAAAGCTGTAGTCAGATGATTTCTAGAAGCTGAAAATTAATCTTGATCTCCTCCAGAACAGTTCTGAGCCCACAAATTGTTCCCCACACAACATTATTATTGAAAAAGCGTATCACATAAGCAGGAGCAGGAAGTATCGGATGGCAAAAATAACAAGTGAGAACTGTTAACCACATACCTGTTGAATGTATAACGTAGTCATGGTGATAACATGGTTAATGTATGAACACATCCCAATCTCCTCCACATTAGCCAAATTTCTATGAAGACAACATAAAAACCAAAGAAATGTACACAGTGTACCATTTGAGGCTAGTTCAAACAATGTTTGTTTTAGCATTCTGTCTATAATCACACAAAAGTATATCAGCATTTCAAAAACACTCTCCAAAAGACTGCATGTACTCAAATGTTTATTTCTGTCACAGTAACAGAGCTCACAAGTTTTCTTCTAACAGGAGGGAAAAGAAAGGCCTGAGTCACTCTGCTGTAGGCCAATTCTATCTGGAATTTGGGGTTTCAGAGGTTAAGCAGATTCCCAGGACACTAAATAGAAAGCTCAGAAATGGCAGCTGATAACAAAGACAATAACTTCCACTTCTCCCACATTACTAGCACATACACTTTCTACAACTTTAGCAAACATATTACCTAGAAGCATTTATTCACTTTAAATTCTCCCAAGGAAAACAAACATCTAAAATTATTTTAGAACATAAATAAATCAACAGCAACAAAGAAATAGCATACACATGTTATTTCTCAGTCTTGAGGACAAGTCACAAAGATCAGATACTGAAGTGATGACATAAGGAGAACTTTTCAGCAATTAAGTAAGACTGACAACAGTTTGTAATTCAGAAACACATTAGCTCCATCTACTCAGCTTATATTTAATATTCCAGGATACTTAAATACTGCCCTACAGCCCTTTGTATTGTTTCAGGGATAAGGAGAGCCAAAGGACTCAAAAAAAGCTGCTTCAAACACTCCTCAGAAAAGGAGATTCCCTATTATATGTTATCCCCTTCCTCTCTTAATGCAGGTTACAATAGAAGACTGAAGAAATAGTGAGGAATAGATCCCTAACAACAGTTTGTTTGCCTGCTTCAACAGAATTACAAAATAAGGCGTAAGTTTCAGAAGGAAGCCAGTTGCATTAATAGTGTAATAAGTCAGTTTCCTAAGCTGTTTATGGAATTATAAGCATGTTAAGAATGTGAAACAGTTCTTCCTGTACAATTCTCCCTCAAGTTATTTCATATCCAACACTTGTTAGAGTGTGCCTTTTCTTTTAAAAGTATTTCTTATACCAGGTACACCATATCTTGCATTCCCATTGATATCTCTTATTTAATTACAAGGAATTTAGTGTTTAATCCCCTTCTATTCCTCTTCTCATGGCAAACATTATTGCTAAGATGACTGCGTTGCTCCCCTCTCTCTCTTTTATTCCCTCTTCCTTTATTTTGAAGATTGTGAAAGTGGCATTTCTCTGTTTCTACTGGAAAGTGTCAAATCACGTCGTATGTGTCATTAGAATCTGTATTTATAGGCTGCATCAAGATTTCTTAAACAAAACAATAGCCTTGCTGAGGTAACAATCAGAACAAATACCTGCAAAGGATGATAAAGAATTTCACAAGTAAAAGTGACAGAGCCTGCTGCTGCTCTTCTAGTCCATCTGACATTTTCTGGACACACTGTAGCAGCTGGAGCCTGAGGACCTGAAGAATGTTATCAGGAAGCAGTGATATTCCTGGAGGAACATCATCCACCCTAAAGAGAAAAACCACACACAAAATTGTTAATCGTGCAAATGACACGTTACCAATCAATTTCAATGTGATCATGTAGTGTTCCAATAAACCTCTATAAGAAAGATTACTGAACTGAAGAAAGATGGCTCACAAACATTTTCTAATAAACCACAAGGAAATGTCTGGTGACAATATGCCAGCTTGAGCTTCCTTTTCCCCAGCAATGAACTGCACTGAAAAAAAGTGTTAAAAATTCATTAAGTGGATTCCTAAATGTTCCTCCATGCGACGATCTGCCTTAATTGCCACAGAGAAATTGCATGATCTTCAGCAGGTAAACGGGTGGCCTGGGAAATCCCTAAATAAGGAAAGGGATGGCCACTATGGAATGAAACATGAAAACTAAACACAAGGGGAACACTTTCAACTTTCTACTAAAGATTAAGAGTGTCCAAATAAATGAGATGCCAATTATTAAATAGTTACTGAAACCCAGTTGGTATTCATCCATAGTGAACCTCATGTCTGTCTTACATGAATTACAAAAAGCCATACAAAATAAGATTAAATACAAAAAAAAAAAGCTGTTCACAATAAGATTAAACAAAGGAAGACTTGAAAATCAGGGTCTGAACGTGCAGGAGAGGGAGCTCTCAAAAAATCCATCTGACTCTTGGCACACTGATTTTGCATGAAAAACTGACCCATCCTTATCAGTTTCCGGATATGATCAACCCAGCAAATAGTTTTTTTCCTGCTATCTAATTATTTTTAGGAGACCAAAAAAAAAAAAAAAAAAAAAATTTGTTTTGGGGTTAAAGACAAAAACAACTCTACCAAGGCCAAACGTGGCCCTGAAGAACATTAGGTACTCTTGCCTATTGTTTTTGCTAAACTGAAACGTTTTTAGAAATACACCAGTGAGAACCAAAAGAAAAAAATTAAAAAAATTATCACAAATAAAACTAGTAGCTAAACCAATGCTCCAGGAACAGCCATATAGAAACCCATTTCAGCAACAGTATAGAAATATAGATGTGTTAGAAGATTCTCTGGGATAAAGACTGTTTATCCACTGTTGCACATGCTAAAAAGAGTTTGCCTTTGGCATCAGCTGTTCACCCTGACACACTCTCTATGAACTCTACACAGGAAAAGGAAGACACAAGCAAGAGCCTCACAGCTTACAAAAGCCTTCACAATGGCCAAAGCCAGGGCGAAAATTACAACAAACAAAAAACTCAGCTAGCTCAAAAACTCACTAATATGACACTTGCATGCATACATCTGTATAAGAATAAGCATCAAAAAGTGTGGAGAAATGCAACGACTGACACTAAAGACTGTGATACCAATTATTTGAGGGAAATGTGGAACCATACATTGTTTAGCTTCTAAAGTTGAAAAGGAAGCCTATATAGAAGGGAAAAACTGAGACCCAATTTAGTAAAACAACTAGACAGGTATAAGTGACAGCAACCCATGACCTAGAAAACAAGTATTACCTATACATATACAGAGGACCAAATACTGGTTATTCCCTTGCCTCTTCACAGAGTTGTGCAATTCGCTTTTCAGCTCCTGGGATTCAGAATCTCAAAGGCTTCAGAAAGTTTTAACACATATTTTATAGGACCTAAGCTCTAAACTGATAGAGACACTAACCACAAAACTGAGAGCAACTGCTTTTTTCCAATACAACTGCCAAGAAAGAAATTTTAATTGCTGCGATAGCAGCTTCACCCCTGAAGATGCCAGCAGATCCATACCCTCAGGGACTATAAGCATGGCTCCTCATAATCTGATAATTCACCATCTCTGTATTAGGAAGATCATAATTTTTGACAGCTGAAATCATATACACAGAAGTAATTTCCCTAAAAGGGCCAACAAGTCTTTTTCAGTAAGATCATAAAATGCTTTACAAGAGAGCAAACAGCATACCCTTCATTCTTCATGTCCCAAAGAATGTTTTCTCTGCAGTAGCTGCCTGCCTGTGCTATTGCACAACCCATGAGAATTTACTGCCTTATGCGAGACTGGCACAAGAAATACTAATCAGGATTACTCAAACTGAATATACTATAGAGTATATAAATAAACATAAATATTTAAGTTAATCAAACTTCTTTTCACCCCAGAGCAAATTATTACCATATCACCACAAAAATCTAAAAGTTAAATTTGTGGACGTGTAGTATCAATGTTTCCTGACAAGATGAGCTCTGTAAACTAAGTATTCCAAAAGGAAGAAAAAAATAAAATCTCAAAAATCACACCTTAACTGACATTCTGATTTGGCTGCTGGTACCCTACCTCAAAAATGTGAGAAAGGCCTTGACACATCTGGGTTCTTTTTATTTATAATTTCCTTGCATTACATTAACATGGTTATGCAGCAATATAAACTGCCATCTCAGGTGTTTGAAAGGAAGTTAAATTAGTCTCTAAATTGTATTCACCTATTACAGCTCAAACTCACACCCTGGGACTTTCAGCCTCTCCTCCGCCACTGGCAAGCACTGTGGAACAAAGTGCTGTAGAAAACCAGGCTTTACTTTTCAACAACCACGAAACCATGTAATCAGCATTCCTATCATGATTCCTGCATCATTTTTATGTGGGTTTGAAGTCAATAAGTTAACAAAAGTATGGTTTCTATGGTACTTTGAATGAGCTTACTTTAAGCTCCTTTGCTCAAGATCATGCAAACCAAAAGCAGAAAAAGAGTATGACAACACTCTGGAGGCCTTTGTTGTTTCTAAAAGCATTAAACCAAATGACAATTTCTCTCCTTCAATAAGGGGAAAAAACGTCCCACCAGCTGGTAAAGGTTTTATCCTTTTCACGGTAAATACATATGAGATGAATAAAAGTTTTTAGGGAAAGAACAGACAGGTGCACTAATCTTCTGTGCTCAATGCACAAAGCCATCAGCATAGCTATTTTCACCTTTTCAGTAAATTCACCTCACCTTTTCAGTAAAATCATTGAAAACACCATTAATGAACCATTTCACCTAAAAATATAGGGTAGATACACAAAGATGGAGGTAGAACTGAAGCTGTGTAAGCCTATAAACTGCATAAGCTCTACTTATACAGTCAAATCATACCACTGGATACACTCATCCTCTATATTTAGAGATTTCCTAATTCTGCACTATGTACCATCTTTTGGATTTCCAAAGCCGATTTCAAGAAATTATATATTTTAATTTATAGAAGAAATACTCTTATCAGTTACATCAGTAAGTGACAGTGCCAAGAGTCCTCCTTTCAGGAAAAAAACTCCCTAATAGTTTCATTACATTTCTTAAGTGTTGTTTTCTTGAATGCTAAAACACACACATATGTTTTACATTGACACAAGACTTCATGCCTGTCTTCCAAAAGGTTAGTTTTGTCCAGCAATCTGTACAAGCTTTCTTCTCCCTACATAGTTTCTCATTATTTCCTGGCATTTGCCCTTCAGTACACAAGATCTTTCAGGCATATAGCTGTAAAGCATACCAAGATTTATATAAGGAGAAAAAAAAAAAGTATTAGTCCACTCAGTTTCTCATTTTAGCTAGCATCACATATTATTTCCAAGACCAAAAGACAGAGTAAGTTATTTAATAAGCAACTCCAGTAAAAAAAGTTGAGTCCACAGGGTCCTATGGCCCCAAGAGAAGCCACTGGAAATCAGCATTTGGTGGTTCCGCACTTACCTACTTGTTCTTTTTTGCAGGCTCAGTAATATCAGTTCCACAATGTAAATGCCTGCAATATGAATCAACAAACCCCAGAAAGATGCCACTTTTCACATGCCTGATTATCTCACAAAGGCAAATAAGGGCAGAAACTGCAATTCTTTGTTAATTCTAATATCTGCTCTCAAATAGTGTAATTTTTAAACCAGTCAAAGCACAGGAATGATCTGCCTTCATCCCTATGTTGTCTTGATACGTTTTCTCTACATCTGTTACACAAATGAGTCTAAATCCACATGGGCCTACTCTTCCAGACTAAATCACTAATCCTGTCATTAACCTCAGAAAAATACACTATTTTTATGCTCACAAAACCATCATTTAGCACAATGAAGATGCTGCTATTGTTCTGCACATTTGTTGTGCACATGCTGCACAAAGCTTCATGTTTGTTTTTTACCTTTTATGTTACTGTAAAAAAATAAACAAACCCAGAAACCATGAACCCACATAAACCAAAAAACACTTAAAGAACCCAAAGTACCAAGAATATTCTTCTCTTCCACTGTTCGAATTTCAATATTAAACAGTATGTTAAAGATAACCTGTGTCAAAGGATAAACTTTTTTCCTTAACTAAACACAGTAAAAGATGTATTTTTGACACTGCAAAGAAAACAGATCTTCTCAAAGAGCACAGAATTAATCTGAAGGTCTTGCTTATTGGTAATTGCACTACATATTTTGCATTCATATAGGCATAAGAAAAATTTTAATACAGAGAGCCGAGAAGCCCCGTTTTTATCCACTGAGATCCAATTGCAGCATTCTTCATTTCCTTGTAACAGTAGAGGCTATCACACTTCAAACAGGATTCTGATCCAAAGCCCATTAAAGAATTTCCATTGATTTCAACAGGGCTTGGACTGCAGCCATCATGCAGGTAGAGCCATTCTTTGCATTCAAACACCAGTAGTGATATCACCTATAATACTGACACCAGTTCTCATGATTTCTGAATCCTATAACATCTCTTTTTTCTTAAAAACTTTAGTTCACGCAAGCATCTCAAAAGCAAGAGAAAACATCCAGTGCCCAAGTTTCTATTCCTCATTTGCAAAGCTAGTCTTGAAAACACAATCCTCAGAACACAGCAGACAAATTCAAAACACTAAATATGGAACTCTGAAATTAGACTTCAATATGACCTCATGATTATATCCGAGAACTTGTGGTCGGCAACATGAGTGAAGTCAGCAATACTCTTGCCCTGAACCAAAGCCTTCATGGATGCAAACAAAGAAATCACTTTAAAGTCTATCATTTGTGCATATTTTAATTTTTAAAAGGTTTTCAGCTAAGATATCAAAATCTTTCATTAAGCATTTAATCTCATCCTTAATCTTAAAGCAATCCCTGAAATAAAATTACAAAACTCTTTACCTATATCTTACTTCTCTTCAGTCACTGCTGATACAGATACCAAGCACTAATACTGACTAATACTATTTCATATGCAACATTTAATGAATACTTACTCAAAAAATGCACAAGGAATAATGATTATATTTCTATGAGCAAGAACAAGTGAATACTCATGCCACCTCCTGATATAATGCAAATACCAGTATTTGCCTAGTTTCATCATTCCCAACCCAACTTGACCTTCAAAAGAATGGGAGTGCCACTCAACAACAACTAAAAAAAAAAAAAAAAAAAAAAAATGTTTTTTTTTTTAAAAAAAAGAAAGATTTTTTTTTTTTTTTTTTTTTTTTTAAAAAAAAAAACATTTTTTTTTTTTTTAAAAAAAAAAAAATTTTTTTTTTTTTTAAAAAAAAAAAAAAAAAAATTTTTTTTTTTTTTTTAAAAAAAAAAAAAAAAATCTTTCTTTTTTTTAAAAAAAAAAAAATTTTTTTTTTTTTAAAAAAAAGAAAGATTTTTTTTTTTTTTTAAAAAAAAAAAAATTTTTTTTTTTTTAAAAAAAAAAACATTTTTTTTTTTTTTAAAAAAAAAAAAATTTTTTTTTTTTTAAAAAAAAGAAAGATTTTTTTTTTTTTTTTAAAAAAAAGAAAGATTTTTTTTTTTTTTAAAAAAAAAAACATTTTTTTTTTTTTTTAAAAAAAAAAAAAATGTTTTTTTTTTTAAAAAAAAAAAAATTTTTTTTTTTTTTAAAAAAAAAAACATTTTTTTTTTTTTTAAAAAAAAAAAAAAAAATGTTTTTTTTTTTAAAAAAAAAAAAAAAATCTTTCTTTTTTTTAAAAAAAAGAAAGATTTTTTTTTTTTTTAAAAAAAAGAAAGATTTTTTTTTTTTTTAAAAAAAAAAAAAAATCTTTCTTTTTTTTAAAAAAAAGAAAGATTTTTTTTTTTTTTAAAAAAAAAAAAAATCTTTCTTTTTTTTAAAAAAAAAAAAATTTTTTTTTTTTTAAAAAAAAGAAAGATTTTTTTTTTTTTTAAAAAAAAGAAAGATTTTTTTTTTTTTTAAAAAAAAGAAAGATTTTTTTTTTTTTTTTAAAAAAAAAAAAATTTTTTTTTTTTTTAAAAAAAAGAAAGATTTTTTTTTTTTTTTTTAAAAAAAAGAAAGATTTTTTTTTTTTTTAAAAAAAAAAAAAAATTTTTTTTTTTTTTAAAAAAAAAAACATTTTTTTTTTTTTTTAAAAAAAAAAACATTTTTTTTTTTTTTTAAAAAAAAGAAAGATTTTTTTTTTTTTTTAAAAAAAAAAAAAATAAAAAATCTGTCTTTTGTTTAAAAGCAGTATTGCCATTGAACAAGACTGGGCTCTCAGCCAGGTCTGTTTCAGATATCAAACAAAGATGAACAGGTCTGTAATTCTACATACCTAGTTGGCAGCTTCTCAAAGTCCACATCCAGAAACTGTTCATAGCTAGAAACAAAACTGTCCAACCAGAGCTTCAGGTAATCTGGATCTTTCTGTAAAAAAAAGAAGAGAACATCAGGCAATATTGCACTCAAGGTCATCCGTCAACAATTCTGTAGTACTAACTTGAATGGAGAGCTTTTCTTTAATGCATTTCAACTGGGAGAAAGGAGGGAATACACAGATTTTTAGAACCAAAAAAAACCCCCACAAAAAAACCCCGTGTCCTTCGAAATTCTCAGCCATGTTGTGCTGATGTGACATTCTTGCTCTATTCATTAGTTCATGTGCTTCCACTGCCTGGTACCAATGCTAACCAAAGCATTTTAGCTTCTCCCCCGACCAACAATCTTTACTTACTCTCCAGAGTAATACATACCAGCTTTACAAAGTTACTAGTATATTCTAGTCTTGATAGCATAGACATTAGTACACAACACTCTTTATGGATTATAAAATTAAATAAGAACTCCAATGACAATCCTAATCACAAAATAATTTGCTTTTTGCTTCATTCATTGATTGATATGGCAGCTAGCAGCAGATTAGAGTCAGATAAATGTTCCAAGAGACAATGCAGAGCCTGTGAGTTGTATACCAGATAGCTATAAACAGACAGGAATTTAAATTTAGGCTTCCTAGTTGTTCTTAGTAGAGCAGACAGACTCTGTTCGTGACCAGCAGTTCCTCAGGGCTGGGTACTGTGCCAGCAGGGAGAACAGATACTAGAACCTGTAGGATTGCCAAACAGACAAGACTTGCAAAAGCAACAGGTAAATTGTATGCCAGAAGCATTTAGCTGATTAGATGTTGGTAACTTAGGGCTAAGATAACACTAGAAAAAAAAGTATTTCTTCTAGCTTCTACTAATCTATCTACTGTAACAACAAGGCTTCTCTTATGCCACATTGTTATAATGTTATCAAGTTCAGGGTCATACCCTGGCAAACCCAAGATAGTCAGATAAGTCATGTCTGAGTTTGGTAGCCCTAAACCTCAAATCATATCCAAGCTTTGTATTTCCAAAAACACCTGTGTTTGTCATTTATCCCAGACCATTATGAGAAAAGCACAACAGAATATTCTAACATAGAAGAAATTCAAGGGACATTAAGAATATGCTCTGAAGAAGCTGCCTTGCAATATAAACTTGCATAGGAAAAAGGTCTGCCCCTGGGGAGCTGAGGAAAGATGCTAAGGAGTTTTCAACTTTTTTTTTTTTTTTCTCATTCTTACAGAAAATTCCACTCCATCCACTTTGGAACTGGATCATTACAGTGTGGGAGTACCACACCTGGGATTATCAAGGAAAACAAGTTCAATTTTAGTGAAAGCACTGTAAAACTCAGCTTCTCTGCAGTATATTAGTTTACTGTCTTTTGATTGAAGATGAAGCGTCATTATCAACGCAACCTAAGAAGCCTGAGGCAGTGGTTGCTGCCATTTTAATGTCTAATGAAACTGAACAACCTCTTATACATTCTTCTGTCACTTTCACTGTTTCCCATCTGAAAGCTGAAAGCAAGTAGCTTGCAGATGGAGGAAAGGAGGATACTTTAATGTGACATGTATACTAGATATCTATAAAACAGATAGGAATTTAAATTTAGGCTTCCTACTTGTTCTTAGTAGAGCAGACAGACTCTGTTCATGACCAGCAGTTCCTCAGGGCTGGGTACTGTGCCAGCAGGGAGAACAGATACTAGACCACCACAAACCACCACAGGAAAATTCTGTCAAAATATGCTCTTTGAGATAGTCTCACTTTAGAAGTCAAGCTGCTTAATTTTCAAAAGCAAGCTGCCAGACCATAGCTAACATTTTCCTCCACAAGGACTGTACAGTCATGTCCATTAATACACATCCATGCAGTCCTACATTCCATGTTATAAATAATTTTCTAATGATTTCTAAATCTACTCCATAATTTATAAAATTTTGTAAAAGTCTAAAACAACTTTTTTGTTCATTCGTCTCTTTCCCCTTTTCTGTATCTCCTCCCTTTTGCTTGTTGCCTTTATATTACCATAGATGTTCTCAAATAACAGATTATTTCCCTGCAGCGTTAAGACCAAGGAGCAATCTGTGAATAACTTAACACACACAGTATTCTCGGGCAATGTCAAAGTAAAAGAAATAGTTATCAAGAAAGACTGACACACAGGGTCCTGTCAGTGCAAAATAGCTACCTACGAAAGAGCCTCCCGGGGGAGAGGAGGGAACAGAATAAAATAAAAATGGAAATCCAGAATCTGAAGTGCTGCAAAACTCTTCTCAGAGCATCTTTCCACACCAAGTACAGGAGTTATAAAGCATGGGAATCCCCTTCTCATTCTAGACTTTACCCTTACCCGTACCCCCAAAGACCCCTCTAACTCAAGCAAGAAGCCTCAGAAGCACCCAGACACAATTTACTTCACTATCACTATTAATTATATATGAAACGTGTTCAGATACTGTGACAACAGGTGCCAGATAAAACCCTCAGCGAGATTCACATCTTGTCTGGTTATTTGCTTCCACTGCCCTTACTGCATTTTTTTTTTTCCCCAATTGTCTTATTTCCCCTTCTTCCACTTCATTCCTAATCTCTCCCTCCTTCATAATCTTTCTTCTCCTCATCTCTGTTTTTATTCCCCTTTCAATGATTTTCTTTTTTTAAGTCATCACTCCCTTTCTTTTTCTATTAAAAATTTGTCAAAAAAGTATTATGTCCTGTAAGTGTAATGTAGCCTTGTCCTCATGTTTAATATGCACTGAACTACCAAACGGTTAAGATATCTTAAACACACACCTATTAATTGTCCTCAAGATGAAATTGCAACATACAGAATGAAGGAAGCTGTTGAGATAAAGAATAAATTTAAGGTTTCCAAGCTACTGGTTTAAGCTAGAGGTTGACAGATTATCTCAGCCAGGTGAATACAGAATACACATTTCTCAGGTTCAGAGATCAAACACCTTGAAACTCAAACCAAAAGATGGGCAAGAAGTAAGACTTGCTAATATCCTAAAAGAATGAGCTAGAAGTAGCAGAAGATGCTGTCTTCAGACACTATGGCTTTTTAAAAATGTTCACATATTTAAAGCTTTAACTTTCTTGTAATTCATAGCCAGTTATTTTAGCCACACGCAAGCTATTTCACAGGATCATAAAGATGAGGAAAACCAGGATACAATTTTAGCAATTACAATATAGCTCAGGCTACAAAGGACAAAGCAATAGCATCCATGGTGAAGTAACCAACACAAACTTCGCCATACGCATGCGTCCATTCCTCTAAAGATAATGCACATGCATGTGCAAAAACTGAACCTATTTCACTTTTTGTCCTGTTGAACAAACTGCTTTGTTTTTTCCTGGCATGAGCAAGTTCTCCTTGAAATATGACGTGAATTACTACATTGATTCTATTCATATTCCAAAATTAAAATCATTTGTTGACACAGCTGAGGCTCATTGCTAATTGTTGACAGTAAACTTTGTAAAAAAACCTAAGTTTTTCTTGGTCATGTACCATGAAGGAAGCTGTGCAAATATCGTCATTATCTGACTTAAAACTGCTTTAACAAAAGGTTATGGATGAGAGAAGGGGAAGGGGAGGACAAAAGACAAATTAGATTAAATGTCTGCTTGCTCCTTTTTAATGATATAGCCTAAATCAGCTTCAAGCTTAAGGTTAAATTAAACCTCCTTATCCTTAAACTATAATGCCTTTGCAAGGCTATCAGTGCAGACTAGCAGTAAGAGAGAACATTGGCAGACAAAATATGCAAGAAAAAGCAATTATGTAGATGACAAGATTAGGCCACGGATGTTGTAAAAGGCCAAAAGTTTTTGCTTACCTGTAGTGCACATACTGCTCAATTCACTTTGCCGCTAGAAGTCCTCCCAATTCTGGCAAAAACCAAGAACTGCAGTACTGTTTGATCATTACCTGCAGCACACTATTTAACCGAACTCCATTCTAACTCAATCCCCTGCCAGCTAATTAATTAAATATTATTCCAAGTTATTAAAATAATCAGCATTCCTATCAAAATACCAGGTAACACTACTGGTATGTGCCAGTAGAAAATACCTTACACAATAGTTGACTCATTCTGAGTCAAATCTAGAGATTTCCATCCAGGCAATAGCACTAACTCAACACCACTTGGGGGGGCGGGGGGGGGAATCATCAAGGCAAAAAAGTAAACAAGATCACTGAGCAACATGAGAAACACTAAGAGAAAAATCTCCATTATAAACCACCTAATAGAAGTATGCCACCTTTCCAGAAACGAACAGAAATGAAGACATATAAACTAGAAGTACATCATTCCAGGAAAAAGTGACCCAGTATTTAACAGTTTTGCTACAAATTAAGACATCTAAGTTATTTCAAAGACGTTAGAAGTTAAAAACAGCTTTCAAACTTTGAATCTGGCCCAGGTTTTCCTTTTTCTTTATTAGCAGCAACCAGCCCAGACCCCATGCACCATTCACCTGTTGGAAGCTGCAAGAAATCTAAATTTTACTGAAGCAGGTTTAAGAAAGGAAACTTACAATGGTAAATGTTACCCATAGCAAAGTACACAAAAATGTCCCTTCCTAAAACATAGCTAAATACATACCTTTTGGAAGACTAGCCTACATGTTTCAAAGGCATCTTATATTTTCCCAAACCAGAAGCGTGATGCTTTAGGAGAAAAACTGTCTTTTTACATTGGCTTAAAATTCTAATTTCGTAATAAAAACAGACAGTAGTATGAGTATCAGCTGCTTCCTGTGCACCATGTACACTGCAATTACTCTACCCAGCATCTTTATTTTGAACTGAACTTTTTTTTTTTTTGAGGTCAGATGCTGCCATTTAATCTGAAGTTTAAATTCAGTGGATTTTAGAATTTATTTCTGTTGAGTTCTCTTCCCACCCACCTTTTCAACCATCCTCTATTTTCTCATCACAGAAGTGGTAAACCACATTAACAGCAGAACACAAATTGACCTCAATGTAACATGAATACATTTGTGTTCTTCAATGCCAGATCAACTTTCCAAGCCAGTACC